GCTTGAGCCTAGGAGTTTGAGGCTGCAGTGAGCTACAATGACACCACTGCACTCTACCCAGGATGACAGAGTAAGACTCTGTCTAAAAAAAAAAAAAAATTTTTGGACACCTGCTACCTGTTTTGTTAGCTCCCACGGGAGAACTTTAAGATAGAGCTCTGGCCTCTCTGGGAATTTATAATCTGTTAATTTTGGTTAGTTATAGAGCGGTTATAAAATAATCTACAGCAGGGCTCACACATCTGGTGTCAGATGGCAGAACCCAAGTGCTGGGTGAGAGCAGCTGCTCTCACCCAGGGGAGGTGGGGACGATGAGGCCACAGAGGACATGTCCTATGCCTTCACACAGGCCTGCCCTGCCATCAGCCACAGTTAACCTCAGCTGTGTACTGGAGATGACACTACTGGCCTCACAGGGCTGCCACAAGCACTGAGTGAGAGAACGTGGAGGACAGCACCTGGCAAGGTGCCCGCTTGGCCTGCGCCCTGAGCCAGACCCTCCCCGCCGCCCAGATTCCTCAGCCCAATCCAGGCCCGCTCTGGGGAACATGCCCGCCGAGAGCTGGGCCTTGCAGGATGACAGAGACCAGAAGAGGTGGCCGTGAGGAGAGCCACACGAGGAGAAGGGAGGAAGACGAATCATGTATACTTGAATTGGTTGGCCTCGGAGATGTTCATCGCCCATTTGCACATCTGGAGGCTCTTCCACCTGTCGAACAGCTCCGACTGCTTCACCCTTGGGAGGAGGGGACAGAAGAGTACGTCAGGGGGCCGGGCAGGACAAAGCGTGATCACTCCCAGAAACACTCCCTTCCTGCTCTCCTATGGCCAAGTCCTGGGCGGGCCCTTGCCATTAACTATATTTTCGTATTTTCTGTATTCTTGATGCTCTGCACCGGGAGCCTTGCTAATTCCTGGAGATACAAACACCTCTCTTGCAAGCGTGCCTTTCATGCACAAACCAACCCGCCCGGAGCCCACACCCTCAGCCACCTCCGTCGTCGGCAGGACGCCAGTCCCTGTGCTTCAGACCCTGCTGAAATTATTCAAACTAGACAACCCTAAACCTGTCTACCCCGCTTACCCCCCCCCGCCAACCCTCCCAAACAAACCCCAACGAAGCCCCCGCCCAACACCCCCCCCAACTCCGCCCCCCGGCCCAACCCAGGCCGCCCCCCCCCGCCCCCCAAAACCGGCCCCCCGGCCCAAGCAAACCGGTCCACCCCTGCCTGTCTTACCACACCTGACGAAAACAAATCCCAGGAACATTTGGGATCATTCTTCCTCACGCGCCCACCCCCAAAGGCCTGCACGGTTCTCTCAGGCACATCTGTCCATGAAGGGAGTAAGACACCTTCCCAAGCCGAGTGTCACACACCCACACTGTGCTCGACACACAACAAGGCTCATGACCGCACCACGCCCTTCTCTTTCTCCCTTCTCCAGGGCAGATTCCAATTTCCAAATGACAGCCAGGAAGAGATGAGCAACCTGAGACGTGCCCCTTTTCCCTGAGAGACCCTCTGCCAGGCTTTACGCCAGTCGGCTTTTAGGCATCTCGGCATCGTGATGCTCTAGAGCGCCGTCAGGAAAGGGCACGTCTAACTCACGTAGGGCTCTCCCTCGGATGGACACCCGCAAAAAGATTTAGTTTTCACTTTCCAAATTTACATCGACATATTTATAATGAAGCACAATTGTAATTGTCTCGATGCTGTATCCCCAGCTTCTAGAACACTGCCTAGCAAATAAAGATACTCAATAAATATTTATAGAATGTATGAACCAAACCGAAGATACAAATTCCCATGAACACTAACTGACCAATAGGAGATCCTTTTTTTTTTTTTTTTTTTTGGCTTCTGGTGTTTCAGGTAAGCCTCATCACTCTCCTCTCTGCCTCCTCTGTCATCTCGGGGCATTCTTCCTGTGTGTCTGTGTCTCTCCCGATAGGAGCTCGTTACACACCTTAACCCCGAATAGTCACTCCTCTCCCTCCTCATCGGTTTCTCTCCTCTTTTCAGCAGTGCCTGACCTCATGGCCACGCCACAGTCCCAAGGCTCTCTGCTACAGACCTGCTTTAGTGTCAATGTTACCCCTCCCCTTGAAGCATCCTTGGTCACTTCTTCCCCATTTTAGTCAAGAGCTTTTTCCTTGGGTCCTACCCAATTCCTTCCTGCCTTCACTTACGCTTGGTTTTGAGGGCGATTCTCCTGTTGTGCAGAAATGCCCAGAATTCTCTAGGACCTCAGTCTCTGGGGGTCCCTGTGAGGCCCTGGGCTGGTGGGAGTTGTGAATCTAGAAACATCTAGGGGGCTCCCCAAGAAAGGCTAGCACCCCCTGCTCGTTAGGGGAAGGATCACAAGACATACCACGCAATCTAGCCCCTCCTGGAGAGCACTAGATCTTCTGCAAAGAATCTGTGCGCTTCTGAGCAGTCGCAGAAGGAGGTGGCTTTCCATTAGGGCTGGGCTGGGTGCATGCAGCCCCTGAGCTCTGCTCCCCTGGGCTCTCACACACACACCCTTTCATTCTGGTCAAACCACCTCAAGGAGACCAGCAGGCTCCATCGGACCAGTGGCCTGGGACCAACAATGATCCAGTAGCTGCCCACATCATGAGCTATTAGAAGTACCAAGTCCTGCCACGGTCCCGGGACCCAGGCTCCACCCTCCAAGGACAGCCTAAATGACAAGGAAAACTCAGATCCTGGACCATCGGAATGCCATATATCCCCATGGACCACTTTTTTAAAGAGCATGGGAAACACAGGTAGCTAAGCACCTGAGGCCCAGCTCTGTTACTTCCAGCCCGCGTCACCACGGACAAGTCATTTCTGAGCCTTAGTCTCCTTATCTGTAAGGTGGAGCTTTAATTTTTACTGTTGTCACTCAGTTGGCACTTTTCTACATGTCCCCGTGTGGGTAGCCCTTTGGGGGGTGCAGGGAGCAGCAAATGATAAAGAGTAAAATCTGTATGATTTTATCTGTGTTTCCCAAAGTGTGTCCCATGGAACTCTGGCTCAATACAATATGAGCCACGTGAAACTGCTACAAAATGGCACTTGCATATGGTTGAACCTATTGTTTTAAAAGGGGGGACCTATGGTCATATATATTTGAGGAAAGCTGAGTTAAATAAATTTAAATGCTTTTCTTTACTACAAGACTTCTCAGATCCTTTACTGTGTTCCTGTATATTGTGAATTTCCAAGGAAGAGGGATCATCTAAATCATTTCCCAGAGGTATTGGACCATGGGATCCTTTTTCCACCGAGCAGTTCATAAGACTGGAATTCCACAGAAACACCAGGAAATGCAGACAGATCCTATGTTCCTTAAAAGCAAGACTATGACTTCCCTCTCTTGATCATCACAGTCCCCAAGCCAGGGCCAGGCATTCTGTAGCTGTTCAGGGTCACCCGGCTGTGGACCACTAAGAAGCTGGCTGGTCTTGAGCACTGGAGCAGAGAGGAGCCCCTGAAAAGATGCTCTTCTGGTGTGATCATGAACCCAGAAGTAAGCAGCCCCCAGGAGCTGAGTGCTACCAGGAAACTACTATCCCGGTGGCTCTTACCCTGGAGTCCACTGAGGGGCTTAACGGAGCCCATAAACCCACTGAGTTATAGGCCAAAACCCAATGTGCATATCTTGGGGAGCATCTGAAGCTTCCCAACGGGGTCCATGATTGCAAAAAAAGCATTTAACCCACTTAACTGTGGTTAAAAACAAAAAATAAAACAAAACAAAAAATAGGTTCGTTCTGCAGAGGTGTGCCCCTGTGTTTAATTGGAGGTAGTAACAGTTGTCCCCAAACAGAGCAGGCCTCGCCTACAGAAAGAATACACAGCTGGTGGGGGAGGGGTGATTGCAGGAAATGCTAGACGGGATAGTAAGTACATGGACTTTGGAACCAGGGGGACTTGGGTCTAAGACTCAGTTCAGACACCTCCTAACTATGGGACCTCAGGCAGGTTATTTAACCTCTCCGAGCCTCAGTTTTCTCATCTATAAAATAGGCATAATAGTCTCTTGCCCTCCCAGACTTGCTAAAATTATTAAATAAGATGAGGCAATAAAAGACTAGACACACAGAAAGTGTCCAATAGGTGTAAGTCATTATTATTGTTAAACATGCTTAGCTCTCTGTGCTTTCTACTTTTGTAAAACCCATAACCAGCTGTCACTCCTCATCTTTCCCCCTAGGCAGTACATACATGGGGCAGGGGATCATGCCTGAGTTCACCACGGTAAGTCCAGGGCTCAGGCACACAGCAGATGCATGGTAAATACCAATAAATTAATGAATGAATTGATATATCCGAGTTCAAATCAAATCTCTATTTATGAATGCCTTCACATGGCAGGAACTGGAAATATATTAATAGTAGTGAACAAAACGACCTCCTGCTTGCATGGAGCTGACATACCAGCAGGGGAGACACATGGGAAACAAACATGTGATGCCTTGTCAGGAAGTGGTAAGTGCTACGAAGGACAATGAAGGTAAAGGGGTGGGGGAGTGACTGGGGAAGCGTGATCAGGGAAGGCCTTCCTGAGGAGGAGAACCTTGCACAGAGACCCGAAATGATGCAGGAGTGAGCCGTGCAAATATCTGGGGAAAGCGTATTCCAAGCAGAGAGAAGAGTGAGTGCAAAGGCCCTGGGACAGGAACCTGCTTGGCAGCTTTAAAGACCTGAAAGGCAAGCCCTCATTTCAACTATCCCAAATCTTCCCTCTCAGAAGCTCGCAGGGTACTGGGGAGAGGGGCCATCACACAGCATCATCCTGGCTCACCCTCTGCTCCCCAGCCCCCTCCCCACTCCCTGCAGGCCACTGGCCCCTGAAGGAGCTCCCTACTCGGTCACTGCCTCAAACGCCTCCTGGAAACACTGCCCTGGCAACACTCCAGGAAGGGTCCCAAGCTCGACTGGTACCAGTGTCTGGGCCCTATTCTCTGTGCCTTCAGTGCCCTCGTCAAATCCTGGACCAAAGTCAGGGCCTGGACACCCAGCCTGGACTCCTGGCTCCATCTGCAACTTGCAGTGTGACCTCGGGCAAGTCATCCAATCTCTCCGAGACTCAGCTACTTTATCTGTAAGATGGATACAGCAGGAGCTGCCCTGCTGACCTCAGAGGTTGTCAGAAAGATCAAATGGAATAATGTGTGCAAAAATATTCCATAAATTGCTTTACAAATGCAGAGAACCCTTGCAGATGAAGGGTTGACCCCAGGCACTTCTCTCCCCAGGCACACATTACATTCCAGAAGAAGAATAAAAAAGGTACAATCCTACCAGATAAACAGAAGGACAGGGGCAGGAGGGCGCCTCCGTGGAGGAGAGATGCCAACAAGTGTATGGAAGGAGGAAGGGGTGACACAAGGACAGGATGGCATAGTCCAGAGGACCTAGAGCCGATCTGGGTGGAAAATTCTAAGAGGTGGGTGGAGGGGGGGTGCGGCCCCAAGAGTGAGAGCCAGTCGTCAGTCCGTAGGCAGAACCATCGAGCCCACACTCCACCCCCCCCTGTAGCAGCCAAACATCGCATGTCCAGCAGAGGAGGAGGAGGATGGAATCAGACTGTCAGTTCCTCTCTGAAAAATGTGTCACTCCCAGTTAAAAGATCTGGCCAATCTAGCAGCAAAAAGGCCAGCAGCATTTTGAAAAACTTCAGACACAGAGCTCTTACCGGTTTTTGACTGTTTAAAGTTTAAATGTGAATAGATAACTGAGG